ATTTGGAGAATTTTTGTGTGTGTATAAAATCATAAATATTACATTGTAAAAATAATTATATAACTCTTTTTTTTTATACAAGCAATATTCTATTTTAATCTAATTTAAAATACGAAAAGGGAATTCGCACTCGAATGAAGAGTGAGAAGTTTATCCGCACTAGCCAACGTGGCAAAGCCGATATTTGCAATAATGATATAACTCTAATTTCATCCATTTATGTCAGCAATTCTGTGCATATTATGGGATTAAAAAAAAAGAAAAGAAAGAAAGAAACAAAGAAACATAACGTAGCAACATGCATGAATAATAGCCGCCAATCCTTGGACTTTGCCAACTGTTTGATAACTCAAAAAGAGAAGGATTGAGGGAGATGGTCATAAATTTGAAGGCAGAGAAAGTGAGAGTTGGGATTGGATAGCGTTGATTTCATGACAAAGCATAAGAAGCAAGCAGCGTGTTGCATTATTTCATTTCGATTGAAAATAAAATCCCACACGTCTCACTTTTTTTTTTTCTTTAAAAAAGTGGACTGTGTTTTTTTGTCTCTACCCTAACCCCAACTTGGCAAGCAAATGATGCCCATATTCGTCAGAAATGCATATCTTCTCATCTCATCCCCTACCTTTCCTTATGATACAAGGTTTCTAGGCTAAGATGACAAAACCATTATTTGATTGAAATAAATAATAATAGTTTTGCTCTATGGCGTATGCGTGAAATTAATTATTTGCCTTTCCACCCAATCTCTCTTGTTTTTTTCAGTATGTCGGGTGTGTCAGAACAAAGATAAAGGTTATCTACAAAAATAATTTATGTATCTTCAAAGAAGGTCTATAAAAAGTCTCCGACGATGATAAAAATAGGGAGATTTACTATTATACCCAATATAAGGGCCCAAATTATAAAAAAATCTTACATGAAATAGACTTTAAAAACACATCCAAAGCTCATTTACAATACAACAAAGAGGCTTCGAACTTCCTATAAACTACAAAATTACCATCGATTTCTTAAAACAAGCCCAACCTCAAAACTCCATAAATAAATAAAAACAAAAAAAACCCAAAACACTCAACAGGGCATCAAAATAATTTGAAATTCAAAATTAAATTCAATGGGGCTAGTTGTCATTTTTGGGGTTTGTGTATAGAAATTAATTGGCGTAGGGTTTATCTATATCATTAGTGCTAAGAATGGGTATATAACTAAATATATCTATGAAAAAAACTATAAAAAGAAAAAAGGAAAGAGAAATAGATGCGAGGGTATTGTCTAAATTACCAAGAGAACCAATGTAAAATGGAAATACTAGGCTTGGTTTTAGGGGTCATGATGAGATTTCCTGTTTTTTTTTTCTCTTCATAAATACTAGCCTCTCTGCACGTGCTTCCGCGCCTGTGAGAGCTTTTTTTTAAAAAAAATTAAAATTTATTTTAGAATTAAAAAAGATAATGGGTAGTTGTGTTCCATAAAAATAGGCTATTATCTGATTTTTTTTAAAAATATGAAAAAGTGTGAATTTACCATATTATCCTCATTTAATTAATAATTTCAATTCTTAATGTTTGATTTAACCAATGACATTTTCTGGTATTTTGAATATTTCACCATTCTCTGCCTTTTGCTTTATATATATAGATGAGATGAGAGAGGAGGAAGGTTTTTTTTACACTGAAGGGAGTAAGGTGGCTTGCCCATGGGAAAGGGCGGTAAGACCTACAAACGTATCAGATTGGTCTAATGTGAATTTGAATTAGTTTATAATCTGATTATCAGATTTAACTTGCCAATTCATATCTAATACGTATTGAATTCGGTTTTAGATTGGATTATTGTTAGATTTATTTTGAGACCTAGAAAGGTATTAAGTCTTATTAGTAACTTTTTTTTTGTCAAAATCTTATTAGTAACATTATTCATATCATTTTAAGACATAGCAGATTTGAATCATAAGAGTATCTACAATCATGTTCTCTATTTTTAAGTTAAAATATAGCTAAAAACACATTAAAGCTATTTTAGGAGCTCTCTATAAAATTTGAACTCCAATCATACTGCCGAGTTTAGGGAGTCATAAATACTATAATAATTATTTTTATTCAATATAATTGGTTTATCTCTATAAAAAATAATATAAAAATAGTTAGTATTAATTAAAAGTTTAAAATATGCATAAAACAAAACAGTGTTAAATTATAGGGAACCACCAGGAGTCCTTTCTCTCTCCTCATATTTAGGAGCTCCTAGAGTTCTCCTTATTTTAGGAGGTGGATAGGGAGCATGGTTGGAGTTGTATTTTTCCAATTCCTTCCTAAAATTTTTCTAAGAAAGTGGTTTAGGGAGTCCATTGTAGATGCTCTAATTATATTATCAGATTGAAAATCTAAATTCATATTATATTACATCAGCTTAAAATTCATTCTATTGACATGTCTAAGTAGGCTCCACATTGAGATGGGCAACTTTCTTCTTCTAGTTTATTTACATTTAAGTTTATTGACTTTTTAGTCGTTTTACTAGGGGATAAACTTGTTCAAAAACCCACCAATTGGCCTAACCCACATATGTGATATTATGGATGGCAATGGGTCGAATCGGGGGTGGCTATGTCATTCCCATCTCCCATTCCTATTAAGTTTTTTCCCCCATCCCCTCCTTCATACCCGCAATATTCATATCGGGGATTTCCCATCCCTACCTTCGTTGGGGAATGAGTTCCCCGACCTTCCGCATTACAGAAGAAAAAATCAATATATAACTACGTTGTTGAAAGAAAAAAAAAGTACTAAGGCAAGATAATGAATATATATAATATATACTTATAAGACAATATAAGAATGTTTATATATGGACTGTAAGTTAACTAAATAAATAAGTAATGTGGCTTAAGATTTGTATAAATTATATAAATATATAATATAAAACTTAGTCGGTACAATCACTTTAATAGCATATTTATATATACTAAATTTAATATATATTCTAAACGGGAAGGGTTTGGGTTGGGGATTAAAATACCATCCCCGCCCCTCCCCGAATACCATACCCAAAAAATTCCCCATACCCGTTTTTTGTCCTTCATACCCGACCCGTTAGGATCGAATTCCCACGAAGACCCTTACCCGCGGGGAAAATTGCCATCCCTATGTGATATATCTTTTTTCTTTTTTTTTTTCAAATGTTCTTTGGTATTTTGTAAAATGAATTCTATTTACATTCAATATCTGTCTTAAAAACCCTATCTAAAAGTTTTTTAAAAAGTTGAAAATCTTGCATCTTTTCATAATTATTATAATGTGGGTAGATTTCAAGTGAGCTGGGGTTAGAGAGTTAGAACTTAGAGGAGGTAAAATGACAGTTGATGTGTTGTGGTTTAATAATATTTGTGGTATCCAGTTTGGGTGCTCAAGAAATTGATTTTTTGTTTACGAATTTAGTAAACCCTTTTATGATAAGTTTACAAATGGGTATTGTTGCGATTTTATTTTAAAGTTTTTTGATGGGTGTCGAGAAACATGTACTGGGTGTAAACAAAGGTGCCCATCCTCTAATTTTCTCAATCGCTCTTATAGGACCATTTGATATCCTACTTGAATCCAATTTTATAAACTCAAAAATATATTTTAAGTTCAAAGTCCAAAAAACCTGTTTGATAGGCCAATTTTTATAAACTCAAACCCAAAAAAAAATTCAAAAACACCCGCATTATTAAAAACAAAAAAAGTGAAGTTTTACAGTTTTTTTTTTCTCTCCTCCTCTCCTCTCTCTCTCTCTCTCTCATATGGCACCCGATCGGGCTTGTCTCTGCTAACCAATAACCACCAAAACTACCGAAGCAAGTTCAAGCGGCGTCAGGGAGTTGGAGTTGTTGCATACCACCAAAAATTTTCCTTTCCTTTTGTTAATTTCAATTTGGGGATTAGGGTTTCTAATTTTATAATTTTATTTTTTTTAGATCTTAAAAATAGTTTGGAGTTCAATACTAAACAAGTTTTTAGATCTTAAAATCACTATTTGAAAACTCATGTTTTTAAAAAAAAGAATCATAGTTTTTAGTTTTACTATTTTGAGTAGGATACCAAACAGGGCAACTTCTACTATTATTGCCATTTTCTATAGTGGGCCCATGGGGCATGTTCATCGACTACCTGCCTAGGTTAGGCCAATTGGATTTTATGGGTTGGCCCAATCTGACTAAGGTTGGGTCACAATAGTCAGCTGGCAATTTATGTGTGGAGAATGTAAATTTGGCATTACCATGTTCATGGGAAGAAGCTACAATGAGGAGTTTAGAGTGAGGGGGCTATTTGAGGAGGCCAATCACACCATCAAAACATTTTAAATGTTTAAGTCCCATGATTTCTTTATATTTGTTGATGGTGAGATTGACCTCCTCAAATAGCCTCCTCACTTTAAACTCCTCATTATAGCCTCCTCGCAGTTCATGTGCTTCCAATTGTTGACTTGGTGGAGCAATATGATCTAGGTCTTGAAACTAAACCAATTTATCTAGGCTAACTCTAGCCTCAAATGCAGGTAAATGCATCATCTCTAAATGCCGAGGTTTGGTATCTTTAATTGAAACTAAACCAATTTATCTAGGCTAACTCTAGCCTCAAATGCAGGTAAATGCATCATCTCTAAATGCTGAGGTTTGGTATCTTTAATTAGGACATATATGGGTAGAGCTCTAAATAAAAGAAAATCCAAATAAAACATGTTTATATATAGAAATCACAAGCCTTCAAACCAAGGCCGGACCGTAGTTAGTGTTGGCCCTCCAATAAAAATAATAAAGCCATTTACAATTGAGTTTTAAATTTTGGTATTAGTCTGAAAATTCTAGCTCTGCCACTACTTCAAACCATATTCATAAAGGATGAAAATGTACAAGAAAGAAATACAGATTACTTTAATTAATATAATACAAATACTGCATAACAAGCTAAATGTTACACAATGAATCGTTGCATATGCTATGAATAAGAAAGGCATGAGATATGCCTACAATGCAATACCTAGCTATTAATAACCACTATACATTACACAAAACCCTTGTCCCACTCCCTAAATATGGAATAAAAGGGGATAGGGTTTTGGGGACAGCACATGCAGACTCCTTTACACATTTAGTCAACATAAAATAAAGAGCGAAAAAATGAACTCCAACAATGAATCTCAAACTTCAAATGCAGCAGCAGCAGCAGCAGTAGTACACTACCTCCTAATTTTCGACTTTCTTCTTCGTTTCCTGCAGGTACGTCTCCATTTCATTCAACCAGAGGTCTGCAAACTCGCAATTCTTCCAAGCCTCAAACCACGGTCCTCCCCGAGTATAGTGTATTGCCTTAGGGAAAGTCCGGGGATTACCTTCAACAACTTGGTTATGTCCCTCAAGAAAATTCCAAACAAATGGGATGGACCCAATTTCTTCATCCTCGAGCCACTGAAACCTATGAAGAAAAGCGCCGGTTTGTGTGTTCACAACCTCCGGCGTCAAGACCCGGTTTTTGGGATGTTCACAATTGTACAACACCATGGAAGACCAATTCTTCCTAGGGTACACAGTTTGCAATGCTCCATCCATTTTTGTTGTCTCCTTTGGGGTGTAATCATGTTGAACACACATGACGGCATATTTCTCATCAACCAAATCTCTTAGCTCCTTAATGTCAGCTAGGTAAAGAAAATCACAATCCACAAACACTGCCCAACCTTCATAGTTGGCCAAATATGGAGTCAAGAACCGAGTAAAAGAAAACTCTGTGCTCTCCAGTTGGCCTCTTTCACGCCAATATAGGCCTTCCTTTCTCAGATCAGATTGTTTAAGTGGTATGATCTCAACTGGGATTGAAGATCTCTTCAATATTGAGTGCCGACAAACCTCATATGCAATGTCTTCACGTTGATCATAACCCACAAACATTTTAAAGGGCTTGTCCTTGTTCATGCCTCCATTACAAACCAATGGATTAACCTTGCAGTCGCCCAAAGTCATCTTAGTTGACACTGATTGTACAACACTCTGTTGAAATTTTCAATTGAATAATGAGGTTAATTTTTTTATTTTTATTTTATAAGAGTGATGGAGTTTTCTCACACACACAATGTCATAAGGTACCCCATCAGTATGAGGTTATAACTTATAACAAACATGAAAATGACATTTAAGCAATTCAAATCGGACTACGATTTTTAGGATAAGTGATAAACAAAAAATGGGACTACAGTTTTTTTAGGATGGATCAAAATCCTCAACTTAGTTTTTCTTTACTAGGATTTGCTTGGCTTTTATTATTCTTTTTTCTTGATAAAGAGCGATATTATTGCTTGGTTTTTTATTCTAAGCATGTCACATAATTTAAAATACAGATATTTAGTCATATACCCATTCTTAGCACTAAAACTATAAATAAACCATACACCATTTAATTTCTATAAACAAACCCAAAAAAACCCAAAAAATGATAGATGACCCTATTGAATTTAATTTTGATTATTAAATTACTTTGATGCCCTATTGAGTATTTTGAGCTTTTTTATGAGGTTTTGGGGTTGTGTTTGTTTTAAGAAATCAATGACAGTTTTGTAATTTAAAAGAAGTTAAAAGCCTTTTTGTTATGTTGAAAATGAGTTTTGGGTGTGTTTCTAAAGTTCATTTTATATAGGGTTTTTGTTAATAATTTGGGCTCCTATATTAGGTATAATAGTGAATCTCCCTTTAAAATATATCTGAATAGACTAAACAATTTGAATAAAAATGAAAAACCCCTAATAGCTGAAAAAGAAGTAAAACGGGCATTTAATGATACTCAAATAACAAAGATGTTTTATTATCAATGGGAGTGAGGAATTTAAATTTGGAATTTCTTCCAATTGATAATTTATTATTCTATTTATTAATAATTCAGTAAATACTTGAATATATTTCGGTATATTCTTCGGTAATGTTGGTAATATTCGATTCATTAATAATCGGTATATATTTTTTTCTTTTCAATTTTTACCAAAAATAACCTCTCTTTTTTTCGGTTTCAGATTCTTTGATTTTCGATTATAAAATCCGGTACCCGACCACAAAAAAAATCTATTGGTAATCGGTCGGTTCTGTTTTTACTGTGGCACTGGCAGCCCTACAAGAAAATGAAGAAAACTTAGGGATGTTGCAATTGGTCAATTTATGCTTTCTTTTCCATTCTTTAAAAGAAAGATGAATAGTTGTCATGGGATAAATGAAAACTAAAAGGATACTTAGTTTTTTAGAGTCCCAATTAGCTAGGGTACAAGATTTGAGCAGTTAATTTCCTACATCAGTTCATGTAAAACCAAACAGAGCCACACAAAAAAACATATACCAAGGACTGAAGATATTCAAACCAGGAAAATGCATGCGCAGAAATCAAATCCTAGCCATTAAACACACAGTTTGAGAGAGACAGAGAGACAGAGAGACAGAAAGAGTACCAATAGACTGGAAATATGCAGATCTTGCAGCAGCAGAAGAAGAAAAGTTGAGGTTTTCTTGTTGAGTGCAGAAGGTAACTTTAGTTAGATTCTGAAAGACAAGCAAACAAACCAACCATTTTCCAATTCAGCATTTTCTGCAGAATGAATTCGAAACCTCAAAGAAGCCCCACAAAACGCTACCAAATTTAGGAAAAAAGAAAACATACCTCATTGCCTCTCTCAAGGGTTGCTTTGGCTTGAGAGATTGTGGCTCCTTGTGGGATTGGTTTTAAAGACACAGAAGTTGAAATAATTATTAGTTGTAGAAAGAAAAGATAAGATATGGGGCCAATTATATGGGTGGTGCAAAACTGCACATGAGAAGAACATTTTCAGGCTGTCTCCAATGCCTTCACTTTCTCTCTTTGGAAATTGCATGGCCACTTGGCCAGCATTATTAAATGTACATACGTAGGGTTTTGTTCTTGACAAAGATGAACTAGAGATAGCGAGTAGAGATTCTGTTTGAAATACTGGCGCGTCAATCATTGGATGCTGTAGGGCAAGCGGGCTACAGACTACCAGTACAGCCACATAATTCCCACCGACACAATTTGGGCCTTATTTTTTTTTAAAAAATGTATATGTTTTTTATTAAAATAAATAAATAAATAAATAACAAGAGGGTAAAAACTTCCACGAACACTCCGAAACACGCTAATCTAGTTGAATGGCTGGAAGAATTCTAGGTGGTACACAATTAACCCAAATATCGTCTTCTTACATTTCGTGACCAAGAGATGTTAAGAGATCTGCAGCAAAATTCCCCTTGCGAGGGCCAAACAAGTTGTCTGATTTTGTGATTGGGCTTTGAGTAGGGGTGATTTTTAAGAGAAAATGTCCAACTTATTTCTTAACTCGGTATGGAGTGCATTCAATTGAGATTTCAATTGATTTTAATTAGTTTTATACACTACACATGAACTTTGACTTGAATTGTATATGGATTTTGAGGGAGTTTGTTTGACTTATATCATAGTTTTTAGTGGATTTTAATTGATTTTCGTAGACAACCCATAGACTTTGGCTTTAATTCTATATGGATTTTAATGGAATTTATTAAAATTTTATCATAGTTTTTAAGGAATTTGAATAGAATTATGTGGATTTTCATGGATTTTTCGGTGGTCCACTTTCATATAGCTTTCATTATTATTATTATTATTATTATTATATTATTTTTTAGGACCTTTTTTTTATTGAGAGGGGCGGTAGTATATTAAACTCATACACACTACACTGATGCTAGGACTTGAACCCTGGACCTTTTCTAGGGGAGCCATTGAAGGAAACATTAAAATCCTAGTTATATTTTGCCACAAAGATAAGATTACAAGTAACTTTAGGCAACATAAGCTTTAAAATTTAATCTTTGAGCTCTAACATGACTAACCCCAACTATCTTTGAGCTTTAACATAACTAACCCTATAAACTTTACCCTTGAAGTACTACTCAAGGTTGACATCCTTTGAGTTGATCACCTTATGGAAGGCCTTCTAGGTTCACTAAATCACCAATAGAGGTGATCTCTAACTTTTCTACATCGAGGAAGATGGAGAATATGATGCAACCTAGGAAGGAAATTATGCTAGTGGTCATTTCCAAAGGTGGCCAGTTTTGGCTAGGTGGGAGGAGCTTGATGGTGTTCTAACTCCTCTCTTGAAACTATCTCAAAAACCCTAACTTTTCTAAAGAGGTAAAGTTCATAAATATAGACCCACAAGAAGAAGACCTAAGTCTCCCTCTAGGTAAAACTGGCCATGGGGTAAATATTGGGCTTGTTGGGCTCAAGTGGTCATCCTACTATGCCCACATAACTTTATTAGCCCATTGGGTCCAAGCCCAAAAGTCCTTGAATCGAATTTCATAGTTTAAGCCCAAACTACCATTTTCCCGCATTCTCTTAATTAATTCAATCTATATTAAATTAATAAGTCTATGCACATCATATTTATTTCATTTCATCCAACCTTTTCGGTGTGTGATCTATTAGGTTCTAATCGGCAACGTAGTGGGCGATCCAAAACTCTTTATTGATTGATTGTGAATTAGAACTCCTTTTTAATTCTCCCTTGATGAGAACTAGATTATATTTTATTCTCAAGGCTTCCACAAACTGTGAGTGACGTCTAGCAACATGTCACGATTGCCCAAGCCAATATAGAATCAGGTTGTGACCTATTCAATTGAAATTATTGTGCAATACGATCCTTCTCTTAATCAATGCTCTTGATCATTCTATTGGGGCATGAAATTCATGTCAAGCTCTTAGTGTGATCTACAGTCTCATGTGATGTAACATCCTGACCCAAATTTAAATTATTTGTTAATTTAATTAATTTATTAAATTGTGAAATTATAATTTTGCCCCTCGGGATAGGGGTATTTTGGTCACTTTTAATCCGAAAGGATTTTGGGGAAATGATTGGTACTATTACATAGATCGTGTCAAGATGAGTCCGTAGACACGTAATTGGCTCAAATCGGAGTTGTAATGAAGAAGTTACAATTAAAAGAAGCTTAGTGGCATAACTGTAACTATTTCGAAAATGGTTTTTTAAAAACCAGATTTTCTCTCTCTCTCTCTCTCTTCCTCCTATTGGTTCGCACAGCAACCCCCCCTTCTTTGGCTGTTACTATTCATCTGGTGGCTTTTTGGGCCACCACCGTCGCATCCGGCCACCATTTTGGGTGGCACCGATCCCAAAAGAACCACCACCTCCTCCTCTTTCCATCCCGCCCCATCCCCAACGCCGGTATCCACCACAGCCGCCGGCATATCACAAAATCTAGCCGGTTTTACCTACAGCTTCCCGGAGTTCGTTCGGGCGATTCCGTCTATCAATTTCTTCGATCTAGGTATGTTTTTTCATCATCTCAATGTGTTCTAGCTTATGGTTGGGTTGTTTATGATTAATTTCTGCGTTTTGAAACTCAAATTATCGCTTCAAGTTTTGGCCGATTTCGGCTCTTAATTCCGGCTATTTTCGGTCACTTTTTGGCCATGGTCCAAGAACAAAAGTTGTTCCACTCATTGTTCTGATAATGTAGGTATAGGTCTTGATCGGCGTTTGGAGATTTTCCGATTGTGGAAATTGCTTTGGGCACCCACACGCTGCTGGCGAGTGTGGTGGCGCATGGGCCACTTTGTGGCAGGTCTTTGGGTCCTAAAATGATCCCCATGTCGTCCCGAGCACGACAGTATGCTTGAATTTGAAATTAGTTATCGTATGACTGTCGATCGAATTATGCATATTAGGCGTTATTTGGGTTCGATATGTTCGGACCGTTAGATCAACTCAATTTTCAAATTTGTTGATTTAGGCATCTCTAGGATCGTGTAGGAATTCATGGATCGTGAATCGGAGTCCCGGATACTCTGATTCAATGACTTACAGTTTGCGTTAAACGGTAACCGTCCGATCATGCGATCGCGAGCGATCCGACCGTTCGATTTGGACCAAATTTGCAAGACATGTATAATAAACCTTGTTCAACCGGTAGGAACTTTCGGATCGGAAATCGGAGGTCGTGGGCCCCATGGGCCCAGTTGACCAAGTTTGGGCAGTCTGACCCTCGGTTGACCGTGAGTCTTCCGAGGTAGTTTCACCCTTCGAGAAGTACTAGAACGACCTTATTAACGAGTCTTGACCGTTATTTGAGTTATGTTAATTATGTGGGATTATGAGATTGTTTTATAGTATCGTATGTAATTATTGGATATTAGTTTGATAATTGAAGAAGTGGAATGAATGAGTACGGTATACTTGGTAAATTTGTATATTGGGCAATTTTAAGTGACAACATATCTTATGCAAATTTAGTATCTTACACTTTTCAAGCTTATGTTCATATTTCTACTATTTTTGTTTACATTTCACATGCTCTTTTCTTGGTTTTTTATTTTTATTTTTTAAGTATAGAACTAGACGGAAGGACACGTACACCCAAATGCAATTGGATGAGGTGCGAGAAGATGCGAGAAGAGTTGGCAACTCATGTCCTAGAGTGGCTTTTTGATTGAACTAAACATTCCTCCTTCATTTTACATGTCTTTCTAGCTAATATTTTGCTTATATGTAGACTAAGTATGGATAATTTGTGGTGTGGGGCTTGAAAAATTGTGATTTGGATGTGACAAGTATGGGCATATTTAAATTGATATATATATATATCTTGTGTGCAATGACAACACAACATGATTTGGAAATGATGCCTTTTTTATATTCTAAGACAGTAACCAAGTAAAGTGTGATGTGGAACATGTAAAGATTAAAACAACTGAAGTTAAAAGATTCAAACAACAACTTCAGTTTTCCAGAAACAATTGAAGTTAAAAGATTAAAACAACCACATTAACCATTGATGCCTAAAACTAATAGTAGCATCAACATTTATATAGCAACCAGCACTATTGGAGGGTTTTCACGTTTGCAAAATAGAAAAAATGATGGCGTATAACATAATTCGCAACAACACTGTTAGTTTCTGCGATGTCGTAATTCATAACAAGCATCAGTATAGGAGATATTACTGATGCTGTAATACCTCTTGAGCCTCCTCCCTTTTGAAACCACTATTGTTGTTTCAGGTTTAGGCATCAGGAGTCAATGTTCTTTTGACACACGAAAATCATTTACACATTGGAGTTTAGGAAATATCCGAGGTTATAACCATATAAAGGCCACAGATAATATCTGTTGCCTATTACATAGTAATAGGCAACAGTCACGAATACCACGGTAGGCTGGGTGAATAGGATAAGGTTGAGACCAAAGAGAGACTTAAGAGAGGCTGAGGTTGAGTGAGAGTTGCGGCGAGGTTGAGACTTGAGAGAGGCTGACTGTGGTAGAGGCATCGGCGAGGTTGACTAAGATAGAGGTATCGATGTTGAGTTTTTGCGGCTGGGGTTTTCGTCTGAGACAGAGAGAGAGAACTGAGATCGAGTTGAGAGAGAGAGAGAGAGAGAGAGAG